TAATGGCTTACCCCAAAACCCCAAAACCCCTTTATACTCAATTGGATTGAATTTGATAAGAAGATTGATTCAATATATAATAAATATGATTACGTAATTTGTAAAATAATATTATTTACTTAATAATATTTTGTAATGGAATCTGGACTATTAGATGACAGAAAGCAACCAGATTAGTAGAATAACAGAACTTCATTTAACTCAAGTTACTCACTTGAGATTTAAATGGACAGAAACGATAGCTAGGCAAATTCTAGTATAAACTACTCTTAGGACATCCAGAACGCCTTCACACAGTGGATCATAGAGTAAAGAGACGAGAATCTGAAATTTATCAGGTTCCATATAGTAGGCCTTACCCTCATCTAGATCATTGTTTGGTTCTAAGAGCCTCTTAATTGTAACATTCCTATTAATCAGTGGCTGTTAATAGCCTGCTCTCAAATGATTTCTGATGCTATTGTCTGAGCCTACAAGATCTCAAAAATTGATAAATACTTGGGAACCGCACTTTCAATGAATAGAGTCATAAAAGAGCTAAAAAAGATTGCTATACTAGAACTTATGATTGAGATTATAAGTGTCTCCTGGATAATCTATGGAGAGATGATCTTCTACTCAGAGAATAATACCTGCAACTGGGAGAACAGGCATTCATCCTCGTACATAATGATGTTCTTGCTGCTCACCTTTGGAATGATTCTTATCTTTAAGTGGGTTCTTAAGATACTAGAGACAACATGCGTAATACTTAAAAAAATAAAATTTAATTATCATCGACGTCGATAAAATCAGCCAAACATATAGAACATACAAGATGATAACCCTAGCTTTACTACAATGATAACACCTATTTAGCCAGAGATATTTATCATAAGCACATCTCTCAACAACAGAAGAATGAATATCGGGATGCGTAGGAATCTGCAAGGAATTATAAAGACTTTTTTCAAACTTAAGAAGACTACTCCTTCCCTTTTGAGTACCAACGAGCTACAATGTGCAATATGTTTGGATGACTTGAACTGTGAAAACCTTGCAGACAACTCCCTCAAGGCTCTTTCGCTACCCTGTGACCCATTTAGAAGGCACGCATTTCATGAGAAATGCTTGCAGTCCTGGCTTAAATTTAAAGAGGAATGTCCCCTTTGTAAGAAACAGATTATTCCGCATAAAGTTTTAAAACGAGAAATGCGTAACCCAGAGTCAGTCAGATTCGAGCATTTCTCTCCTTGAAAATGAAATAAGGATATATATTATAATAACATAAATATAATAAACATAATTTAATCAGAACGGGAATGACTCAGAACACTTTGAGAGTGATCTGAAACCTGTAAGATCAACATTTTTTAACATAAATCTGTATTTATATTAATTAAAGTAAACTAAATTCACATTAAAAAGGTAAAGTCAGCTAAGGGTATGATTGGCCCCTCCTGTGTAAATATATTCTTCGTCTCTTTGCATACTTATGGGAAGAAAATATCAGACTTGTAAGGATATTTTCTCGGCTTGTATTTACCTTTTTTGATATGAACACTCGTGTCTTAGTCTTGTGTACTCGAGAAAGCTAGCTCAGGGAGCTTGGTTTCAGCATCGAAAAAGACATACCAGATCTTATCGTCTGAGGCTAATGATCTAAATCCATAGTGAGATTTTTGTCCAGTTTCAAGACATTAAATTCCAAATGATATTGAATAACTATCATCTCTTGGGAAATATATCTCATCGATGATGTTGCGAATGGTGTTCATGCTCTCATCGAATCGAGTCGCATTGCATTCCTGATGATCGTATTCCGCATCATTGAATAAATCGTATATGAGTGCATATTTATAGTCTCCTATCACTGATTGTGTTGGTTGCTTTCCTTCTATATTTACAGTGCTTCCATAGTAGTCCTGTCTAGCTCTATCATGAGTTGAGTCAACATTTAACCGCAAAGTGTATTGATATGCTTTCCCATTGATTATATCCAGGATTTCTGCTTCCATCTCATAGTTCCAATATACATGCATCTCTGGCCAGTGCCTCCATTTCCAAGGAAATACTATCTCATCTAATTCTGGCTTTCTTTCACACATTTCTTAATTCTAATTCTAAGAGCTTAGAGATACAAGTCCAATCAATAATATGAGAGATTTAATTCGTGTCATTTAACCTATCATTATTTTAATCATTAACATATCTATATATAAAAGTCTACATTTGCTAATTCCAGAAAATTCTGCAAATCTTAATGATATGGGGTTTTGGGGTTTTGGGGTTTTGGGG